GCGCTATAGCGCTGCTACAGCGCCGCACAGCAGAAACGCATAAAAAGTGAAAGTATTGCTCGAGCGATCATTTGTAAAAAAATTCATGTATACAAATTAGCTAACGTTCATTTACATATTTGGGTGAGGGCGGTCGTTCGCTGCAAAACGCACTCGTTTCTGATTTTTCGGTAAAGTTAGCGCTTCTCACGCCTACCTGCAGGAGATTTCAATTCTAAGCAGAATTAAGACCGCACTTAAAAGTAGAATACTCCGGCGAATTTTCAGCCTCACAGCTTGTACGGTAAGCGAAATGTTCACTTCGCCACAAGTACCTTTGAAGTGCCATAAATTGTGGCGCAAGCACAAATTGGTACTCATTTTAGGTATACTATTTCTGTATGGCAGAAGAAGTTCCTGACAAAATTTCAGCCGCTGTTTTCTGGCAAATTTTCGAGTTAGCACAGCACCAAGTTGCAAACTCTGACGTGGTCGTATGCGCTGCACAAGCATGCTCGACAGCTGAGTTTGAAATCCTTAGCTCGTACATGCACAGGGAATATTCCTGCAAAGTTTCAGTTTTCTACCCAGCCTGGATCGCGAAATCGTTTCCCGCCAAAGAAAGTGCATATTTCCTTGGAAGACCCGTACGCGGGATCTAGGCGCATGTGAGGGAATATCTTGAAACGGGAGAGTGACACACGGGGTAAAAATTTATACCCAAGTTTCAGCCTCCTAGCTTTCCTGGTTGCTCAGATGAAAGTGGGTGACAAAATGCACTCGCTTCTGAACACACATACACACAGACATCCTCTCGACAATATGCATTTTTGCTGGCTGTAGCGCTGGACAGCAAAAGCGCATAAAAAGTGCATGACCAACTGGCACACCTTGAAATCATGGACCTCATATCCTTCATCTTCAGGAAATAGCTGAGATAAGCGAGCTAACACTTCGTCTGCACTTTCAGGCACCATTTCCTAAAATGCTTAATATAAGGCATAGAATGCAATGCATAGAAATTCAACAATCTGAGTGGCTGCCGGTTTACGATCTGATACGTGCACTCATGTTGGAAATGTTCTTGTTGGCTTTTCAAGTAGTGGGAGTGCAAGTGTCTAATGGTAATGCTTCGTTGTTGGCCTAAATTCTGTGTCTAAACACGGTGGCATGAGAATGCCATTAATTTTCCAACCAGAAATATGCAGTGTCTGTGCGCAAAACATTATGCTCTTGGAGCCATACACGGAGTTGCAACGTCATCGTAAGGTGCTAATTTCCTAGCGCGTCTGATTTCTGACACAGAAGGTTGCCAACACTTTTGCAAATTGTGCTTTTGACATGTCCCAAAACATAGTCATTCGCTAAAGCTCTTTTTGTATCTGCGAGCTCGCACATGAGCAGTAAATTTCCTCGTAATAGTGCAGCCAACTACTCATTCTGGTTCCTCAATTAAAAGCGTGCTAGCAATGCGACTAATAGAATTCCCACTTACTTGAACTATCTTAAAGCTCAGTTTAAAATCTATAAATCACATGTGGGCAGTAATCACTTTCGTAAAATTTCAGATTCTTGATTTTCCTGGCTGCTAATTTGAAAACGGTAACACAAGTTCCCGGCAATATGCACTTTTGCATAAATGAGCCAGGCTAGAACGCACCGGGCGGGCCCGCGCGATCATGCCTTTTTGCACCG